CTTGACCTCCGTCCGCATCTTCTCGGCGTCGCCCAGCAGCTGCTCGGCTGCTTCCCTCTTGGCAGGGTCCTCCATCCCGCATGCGATGTCCTGCCACACCTGCTGCGCCGCCTGCGACACGCCATGCCCCTCCTCCTTGGGAGCGTCCACCTGCTGCGCTGCCGCTGGCACCGCCGAAGGCACGGGGACCGCCGCAGCCGCAGGCGCGCGAGGGGACGCCCCTGCAGCGGCGGGAGAGCCAGGCAAGCCACTGAGCTCCGCCAGCACCTTCCCGAGCTTCGCGATCTCGTCCCTCGACAGGCGGCCGATCGCCTCCTGAATCGTCTCCAGTGAGGCCGATGGAGCCGCTCTCGGCTCGGCGGCAGCTGCCGCCGCCTCAGCCTCCTCGGCCGCCATCCTGGCGCGCTGAGCCGCCAGCGCCTCACGTGCCTTGGCCGCCGCCTCATCGCACTCCTTCCGCAGCAGCACCAATTTGTCCGCGAGGCTGACCGACTCGTTGATGGCCGCCGCCGCCTTGGCCTTCGCCTGCTCCAGCTGGCCCTCCATCTTCTTGACCTGCACGACTTTGGCGTCCGCCAGCACCTGGGCCGCTTTGACCGTCTTGTCCTTGGACAGCTCGGCCCCCAGCCCGCCCTCACGCAGCCTCCGTGCCTGCAGCAGCTGCTCGCGGACCTTCGGGGGCAGGAGCGCGGCGGCGAGGGCGAAGTCGGCCTCCGCCATGCACACGAAGCCACAGCGCTGCTCCTCGCTGAGCACCACGGCGCCACCAGCTTCACGGCCTCCACCTTCTCCACCTCGCCACCACGGGGCACGAGTGGGAGGCTTGCCACCGCCTGCCCCACGCCCGCCGAGCCCGCCGCCAGCGCCGCCAGGAGCACCACCACCGCCACTGCCTGCATGCCACCCACGTAGCGGAGGAAAGGCGCCCAGCTGCCGCGGCGCTGGCCACCCCGCAGGCTGGCACCCCTTGCGACAGCACGTCCTCTCGGCGAAGTTGTAGTAGTCGCACACCGAGCACTTCCACTTCGCAGGCCACGCCGCACGGCCACCTCCCCCACGCCCAGCACCCACGCCGCCGCTCCCCGCCATGGCGCGCGTGAGTTTGGAAGGAGGCCGCCCGACTGCCAGAGTGCACACACTCTTGCCTGCGCACGGTAGTGCGATCCAGTGAAGCACGGAGGCTGAAAGCCCCCCGAGCAACCCATCTTGAGCCAAAATGGCTACGGAGGAGGAGGAGGAGGAGGAGGAGGAGGAGGAGGGGGAGGAGGAGGCGGAGGAGGCGGAGGAGGAGGGAAGGAGGAGGGAAGAGGGAGGAGGGGAGGGAGGGAGGGAGGAGGAGGGGGGGGCGGAGGGAGGAACACTGGAATCCGCCGCCGTGCCTGCGCGGCAGTGGCGTGTTGGAGTGCCTGTAGGTTGTCTGGTCGGGTTGCTGCACTAATTCTAAGGGACCCCCGCGTCTTCCCCGCATACACTTGCGCGCACCACCCTCTCTCCCAAAAGTCCTGAGTGAAGGGGCCCGGGGACGCACAAATAAATAGACACAAGTAGCAGGATTCCCCATCTTTTCCCGTATTTTCTGGGTGTTTGTCTTCCCCCCCACTTCCCATATTTTCCTATATTCTGGGGAATCGACGATGAGTTGTGTCTGTGTGTTTTTTCCCCTCCTGACTGAGCCTCGTACAAAAACAACGTGCCCTCGCTCCCGAGGCCACGATTCAATGGAACCGCGCCGTCGAGGGCAAGAAGGCCAAAAATGCCTCCAGGACGGGCAAGTCCGCCCGCCCCCTTGTGGGGCCACCAGGCTGTAGGACTGTAGGACGAAGGTTTGCTGTTCCCTGCGCCAGTTCCAATTTCCAATGTCCGCTGTTACAGTTCTGCTTCTTGCTGTTTACCGTTCCTTGTTGATGGACCGCGCGAGGGGGGGGAGCCGAGAAGGAACCTAATCCCTGGGGGCGGCACGGAACAATACTTCAAATTCGCGCCCCCGATGCCATAAACCGTCGTAAATTACACAAGAGTCGCGTCCCCGAGGCCATAAACCCGCGTGAATTATACAATACTCGTGCCCCCGAAACCATAAACCCTTGCAAATACACCATATTCGTATCCCCGAGACCATAAACAATCGTGAATTACACAATGCTTGTGTCCCCGAGGCCACAAACGTTCAAACATCATGCAACTCTCGCGTCCCCGAAGCCATAAACCATTGTAAATTACTTAATAATCGCGTCTCCGAAGCCATAAACCTATGTAAATGACGCAATATCTGCGACCCCGAAGCCATAAACCCTGGTGAAGTACACAACAATCGCGTGTCCGAAACCATACTCCCTCACACATTGCGCTATATTTGCGAGCCCGAAGTCACAAACCCTCGTAAATTACACGCTACTCGCGTATCCGAAGCCATCAACCCTCGAAATACAACACCGAATTCAACGACATCATCAGAATCTCAATTTGTCTTGCCGATTACTCATCGTCTTCGCGTGAAGTCCCGACGCTGCTTCACGGCGGCGCCAAGGACTCATGATTTCGCTTTTGCATTGCCCATTATCCGAGAGGGGGGGCCGGCGGCAGGGGGCGAAGCCCTTACGAATATGGCTTCCTGCCCAAAATGGCGATAGGGCGGCCAAGAAGCCTGGAGCCCCCCGCCCCAAGGGGCCTCTGGACGCCTCGTAGCCCTTTCCCCCGACCCCCTTCCACCGCCGCGGCACGGCGGCGGAATTGCCGGAGGCAGCTGGGTTCTGGAATACCGTGAAGGCCCATGGCTGGCCCAGGATGCGAAAAAGAGACGAACCCCATCACTCGAGGAGGAGGACGAGTAGGAGGACAAGGCGGAGGAGGAGGAGGGAGAGAGGGAGGGACGGAGGGAGGACGAGGAGGAGGAGGAGGAGGAGGGAGAGGACCAGCGAAGGTCGCCATGAGGGGGCAACGTCAGTCTCTAGCCGCTGGCGTGCGTCTGCACACTCAACCGGCCGCCGTGGCGGAAGGCGGGCGGCACCGAGGGCGGAGCCGCGCGCATCGCGCGTGCCGACACGATTTTGGAGGAGCGAGAGGAGGAGGGCCGCGCTCCCCCCGCGCCACGCGCGAGGTCGGGCGGGAGACTCCGAGCGTGTCTGGCTGCGGCGAGGCCACCGACAGCCCTGCCTTACGCCAGCGGGCCCCCTCGGCCTCGATCTTGCCGAAGTGGAAAAAGCGGCAAGCCACCGCCATCCTCGCTGCGGAGCTCGCGATCCCGGTCTCGTCATCGTAGGCGCTGCCGATGGGCGGGAATGCCAACCAGGAGGAAGAGAAGGAGGAGGAGGGGGAGGAGGAGGAGGAGGAGAAGGACGGCGAGCAGGAAGGGGAGGAGGGATGGAGGCATCGCTGGAGTCCTCATCCTCATCCTCGTCCTCCTCCTCCTCCTCCTCCTCCTCCTCCTCATCATCATCATCATCAGCAGCAGCAGCATCATCGTCATCATCACCATCATCATCGCCATCATCACCATCACCACCACCACCAGCACCATGAGCATCATCATCAACCTCATCATCATAACTAATCCTCATCATCATGATCAGCATCACCATCACCATCAGTATCATCCTCATCACACATCAGCAGAATCATCGTCATCATCATCACCATCATCACCAGCATCGTCGTCATCATCAGCATCATCATAAACAGCATATTCAGAATCGTCATCACCCGCATCATCATCATCGTCATCATCATCATCAGCAGCATCATCATCATTACCAGCATCATCATCATCAACACCACCACCAGCATCATCAGCATCATCAGCATCATTATCATCATCAGCATCGCCATCGCCATCATCATCATCAGCATCATCATCACCATCAGCATCAGCATCATCATCATCACAATCCTAGTCGTCATCATCAACATCATCGCCATCGTCATCGTATTCGTCCCTATCACCACCATCAACAGCATCAGCATCATCGTCATCAGCATCATCATAAGCATCATCATCAGCATCATCGTCAGCAGCATCATCAAAGTCATTATCACCATCGCCATCATCAGCATCGACAGCATCATCATCATCGCCATCAGTTGAATCGTTGTCGTCATCATCATTACCAGCATCGTTGTCGCCGTTCTGATCGCGATATGTGTCCTCATCCTCATCCTTTTCCTCCTCCTCATCATCCTCCTCATCATCATCCTCATCATCCTTATTGTCGTCACCATCGTCATCATCATCACCATCACCATGACCATCATCAGCATCGTCATCGTGATCATCATCAGCATCATAAGCATCAGCATCAGCGTCTTCATCATCATCATCCTCCTTATCTGCATCGTCATCATCATTATCAGCACCGTCATCATCATCAGCATCATCAGTATCATCATCATCATCATCATCATCATCATCGTCGTCGTCGTCGTCGTTATCATCATCAGCAGCATCATCGTCGTCATCATCGTCATTATGATTATCATCATCAACATCACCATCATCATCATCATCATCATCGTCCTCATCATCATCATCATCATCATCATCATCATCATCATGATCATAATCATCATCATCAGCATCATCATCATCATACTTTTCATCATCATCACCATCAATATCATCATCATCATCATCATCGCATTATCAACACTATTCCCCTTCCTCCTCCAGTCCTCCATACGGGAGGAGGACAACTGCAGCGACGACGACGGCCACGACGAACGCACCACGACGCACGACGATGGCGACTGCGACGATGGGAAGGGGAGGATTAGCAGGGGGGGAGCGAAGCGAGGGGAGGACGAGAAGCAGCAGGGAGGGAGGGAGGGAGGGATAGGAGAGGATCGGAGAGAAGCGAGGGGAGGACGAGCAGCAGCAGGGAGGGAGGGAGGGAGGGAGGAAGGGAGAGAAGGAGGCGAGGGGAGAGAAGCGAGGGGAGGACGAGCAGCAGCAGGGAGGGAAGGGGGGAGGGAGGAGGAGACGAGAGGAGGGAGGAACGGCCGCGAGCCTCGCGAGCGCACCCTCTTGCTCTCAAGCCAGACGTGGAAGCGGGGGATGAACGCCACCCGCCGCGGAGTGACGGACGCCACCCTGCGCGGCCGCGGCCGGCGAGCCGCAGCGGGTTGAGGGTGCCCTGGCCTCTCGATCCGCCCTCCGCCCTCTCACCACCCTCTGCCGCCCCTCCTCAATCCCCTCCTCCTGCCGCACCCCTCCTCAACTGACGAGCCCCCTCCTCGTCCTCCTTCTCCTCCTTGCCTTCTCCTGCGCCTCATCTCTCTCCCAGCCCCCATTCCCATCCTCCAAATCTCGTCCTTCCACTCATCTCATCATCCTCATCCTCATCCTCATCCTCATCCTCATCATCATCATTATCATCCGCATCATCATCAACATCAGCATCATCACCATAAACAGCATCATCAGCATCAGCTTCAGCATCATCACCACCATCATCAGCAGTACCATCATCATCATCATCATCATCACCACCATCATCAAGAGCAGCAGCAGCAGCATCATCCTCATCATCAACATCACCATCATCAGCATCAGCATCATCATCAGCATCCTCATCAACCTCATCAGCATCATCATCAGCACCACCATCGTCATCAGCATCATCAGCATCTTCATCACCATCTCAACCATCATCATCATCGTCGTCGTCATTGTCATCATCACCATCAGCAGCAGGTGCAGCATGAGCATCAGCACCAGCATCAACATCGCCGTCCACCTCCATCTCTTCCTCTTTCTTCCTTGTTACCATGACACTCGCCAAAGCCATCGTGACACTCGCCAACATCATATGGGCGTTCACCTCGCATTTAGGTGGGTACGCAGGATAGTCACATCCTCATCACCATGACCTCATCACCATGACATAATCGCCATCAAAACAACTACTACCAGCACAACCATTACCATAATCGTACTAAACAACACCATCATAATCAGCAGCAAGATCATCATCACCAACGGGGTCGTCGTCACCAGCATCACCAGCATCAGCCTCATCATCACCATTATCACTAGCATCACCATCAACACCACCATCATCCTCATAATCAGCATCAGCAATATCATCATCGTCGTCGCCGTCATCATCATCATCATCAGCAGCAGCAGCATCATCATTACATACCCAACACCGAAAAAGTCTCTGGCGAAACGGCTGCTGGACCAATAGTCCTGAGGCTCCCCGTCCCCCCTTGCGGGACTCCTCTGTGGCCTTGCTTGTGCCACCATCAGAAACATCCAGCGAAACGCTGCGGCCGGCCACGATGCATAGACGATGCAACGCCAATGCATCGGCGCCGTCGCCGTGAAGAAGGTCGGGCTCCATAACGGGCCGCATCGCCGATGCATCGGCGATGCGGCAAGATCCTCCGACACCATCCGCTTGGACCCCACATGGGAGGCGTAGGGACACCACGACCCCAGGCACGCCCGGCTGGCGGGGTGCGACCCACCCGAGGCAGATGCTCCCCCCGTCCATCCCAGGCCGCATACTTACACGCCTGCTTAGTTAAGAAAAGTCGAGGCTAAGAAGTACAGCTCTTCCGCCGAGCGTTTTCTTAAACAGTGTCCAGGTCCAGACATACAAGAACACTGTACGAAGAAAAGAAACTCCAAGAAAACGCTCAGGGTCGAGCTCCCGAAAGCTTACGTCTGGTACTGAGACTTCTGATCGGTGTACTGCACCGCAGAAGGAGAGAACAGTTGGAGGTCGGCGGTGCGTCGCCAGCTGGGACGGGGCCAGGCAAGATCACGCAGACCAGAGGTCACTGGACATGCGAGAGAAGGAAGGCGAAGGCGAGAAGCATGGGACGGCTAAAGTGGAGGGAAGAGGATAGGACAGGATAGGAATCGGCCTTGCGCGCGGTGGGGGGTGACCTGAACCTGCACACGCCTGCGTGAGACACCCGTGCACAGACTCTACCTCTCGCAATCGTATGTCTACTGTATACCAGATTATGGGTAACGCGCGCCATACAGCGCTCGTAAACTAGACTTCCAGGTCCGAGGAAACGAAATAAAACCAGAAAAGGGAGTCGGAAGAGCCAGGATCGAGGCCTCGCGGACAGACAGCCACCACTCCGACGGGAGCTGCGGAGGCGTGGAGAAAGAGGAAGAGAGAGGAAGAGGGAGCAGGAGGAGGAGGAGAGCGAGGAGGAGGGAGGAGGAGAGCGAGGAGAAGGGAGGGAGGGAGGGAGGGAGGAGGAGGAGGAGGAGGACGAGGAGGAGGAGGAGCAGGAGTGCTGCACCCGAGGCTGCGCGAGCGGAGCGCGCTGCCGCGCTGGCCGAAGAGGTCAGGTACGAGACTCCAAAAGTGGCGGTCGAGGGGTCTAGGAAGCAACTACTGGGAGGTTTACGTCGGAAAGAATAAGGAGGATTGAGCCCCATTGGGGGGGCTGTTATGCCGGAGTGGGCCTCGGATTACGCCGGATTGAGCGGGATTAAGCCGGATTATGTGGGATCAAGCAGGATTGAGCCATATTAAACAGGATTTCGGACCAGGGCAAAAACAGAATTTTACCTCCCAGGTGTTGCATCCGACGGTCCCGTCCCAGAGAGCCGACGGGCAGACGATTCGAGCAGCCGAAGCTGCATCGCCCCCCCATGGCGCCGCCGGGGGGGCCGGCGCAGGTCCACGAAAATCCACGCGGACCTCGACAAAAACGTGCGTGTTCGGCGGTGTCTTCTTCGGCCGGAAGGGGGGAGATGGGACGGGGAGGATCCCGTGAGGGAGACTTCGACTTCGCAGACTGCGCAGCACCGCGCAGCATCTCCACGGAACGTCCTCATGGCCGTTGTCCTCGGCAGCACCGATGACCCCATCATCATCTTCACTGTCGGCGGTGTCAGTCGCGCCAGTAGCGCCAGTGAGCTTCATGTCGCCAGCGGCGGGGAGGCCAGGGCCAGCCAACAGTGGCGGAGGCTCGGGTGCGCTTGTGTTCTGCATCCTCCTGAAATGCTCCACAACCTCGGCCTCCATGTGCACCCCATGCTCCGTGTTGGTTCGGAAATTGCTGGCAAGCCTGGTGGGCCTCTCCAGCGTAAGATTGACAGTCGACCCCTTCCTGGCAGCAATCCTTAGAGCCTCAAGGACGGCTACGTAGAAGTCCTGGACCTGCTTGTACTGCTGACAATCGACGCCGATCACGTCGACGATCAGGTTCCGGGCAGCAATTGCCCGCGGATGCTCGATGATATACTTCTCAACCTGGCACGGCTCACGGCGCTGATCATCAGAGCGAGGCACGATATGATTGATGATGCTTGCCTAGGTGCAGGCATGGGGGCTGCAGGCATGGGTGCCATCGGAGGGCGCGATCTGCCAGCCCAGGAGGTAAAGGGGGATCTCCGCCTGAGGGCAGTCAATCTGGATGGAATGCCGTGCCTCGGAGACGATGTCCTTCATGGGGTGCGCCTCGCCGAAGGCCTCCAGGAACCACCGCGGTCTCTGGACTCGGACGAGCGCCGAGCTGCTGGTCCTGTTGTCCATGGTGGCAGACCTGTAGTGCTTCCCAAGAATGTTCATCCAACTCGTGGAATTGCGTTGGAAGGTAGCAGTGTCGAACTGCAAGACCCCTTACCCTTCCACGATCAACTGGTCTGGGTGCCTCATGTTCCGCACCGCCTCTGAGCCTGAGTCTTCGATGTGCTTGATGACGGCCAGCTTCCACTCCTCCGCCCCCATCTGCCTATGATGGTGGCCCAGCGCCCAGCCCATGATCTTGTCCAGGGAGCTGCCAAGCTTGTCAGGAGGGCGAGGAGGAGAAGGATAAGAAGGAGAGAGGTCGAGGAGAAGAGAAACGAGGAGGCGGAAGAGGAGGAGAAGAGAGAGGAGGATGAGGAGGAGGAGAAGGAGGAGGAGGAGGAAGGAGGAGGAAGTGGAGGAGGAAGAGGTGTAGGAGGATGAAGAGGAGAGAGCTCCCCCATTCTCCCTTCCCCACTCCCTCCTCCTCCTCCTCCTCCTCCTCCTCGTCCTCCTCCTCCTCATCATCATCATCATCCTCATCATCAGCTGCAGTGGCATCAGCATCAGCATCAGCATCAGCATCAGCATCAACAACAGCATCAGCATCAGCATCAGCATCATCAGCATCATCAGCATCAACATTATCATCATCATCATCATCATCATCATCATCATCATCATCATCATCATCATCATCATCATCATCAGCATAAACATCAGCATACGCGTCATAATCATCATCATTGACAGCATCATCACCATCATCAGCACCATCGTCATCGTCATCAATATCAGCATCATCATCACCATCAGCAGCAGCATCGTCAGTATCATCACAATCATCAGCATCAGCATCATCATCATCAGCATCAGCAGCATCATCAGCATCATCATGAACATGATCATGATCACCAGCAGCACCACCACCACCATCATAATCATCATCAGCAGCATCATCAACGGCAGCAGCATAATCATTATCAGTATCACCCTCTTCCTGACAGCTCTGTTTAACCCCGCCTGCAGCAGTCGTGCCGTGACGACTTCGGCGCTGGCCCTTGACACCGCGTGGACTGTTCGACCTTGACCGATTAGGGCTTTGCGACAACGCAGACCGTTCGACGTCGGCCGATTTGGGGCCACAAGCGGCGTCCAACCTTGAACGCCCGCCGGTCAACCTTGCACGCCCGCGCTGGGGTCGCCGCCGAGTCGACGCGGCGCGAAGCTACCGCGCAGTAATCGTAGCCAGCTCGAGCGCGCACCTCAGATGCGAAAAGTCGCACTCGGTCTTCTGCGGCGGCATCGAACGACTTTGTTCTCACAGTTTTCAGCGTCACCTTCCAACTGAATGGCAAGCTCACCAGCACGTCATCGACTCCCTCTCTCTCTCTCATTCTCTTTCTCTATCTCTCTTTCGTGTGGCTTACCGTCACTCCACCCTTCACGTATGTGCCCCCTCCAATCGAGAGAAGGCTGGCGACGACTCCACCCGAAATGGAATATCAACAGATTAGCCTCGCTCTGACGGTCCATCGGCACCAGGGAAGCCAACATCTACACGATCCCTCCATGACTGACACCGCCCTGATGCCCAAACTCCGGACAGGGTCAACCGATTGGCATACGGACACGTCCGAACTTCGGGCTACACCTTCCGAGACACAAACATCTTGGACCCCCGACGCCGTACTCTCTTCATGGCGTGGACCCCGAGGGCCGGCTCTTCGTCCCGAGCTGCCACTCCCCGGGGCCCGCTGAGGGCACCGAGGGGCCGACAACGATCAAACAAACTGCCCGTCGCGATTTTCTTTACCAGCCTCGAACGTATCCCTATCCCCAAGACTGACACGCCAAAAGGCGATGACAATCTTGGGGGTTTGCCCTCAAAGAAGAAGGGAATCCCTAAGAATGGCATCGTGATGAGGAGGTGCCCAGCATAGGGATAGGGAGATGTTCCAGGCTGGTAATTTCTCACAGCCCAGAGGGAGCTGGGGAGGAACCACCAGGCCCGACCACCCCAGCGTGCACCCCGCCGAGAGAGCAGGGCACCGCCTCTCGGCACGCCGGTCGAGGAGCGCGTTGCACAGCGCGACGGCGTGCACCGCGTGTCCCAAAGGCACAGCCTCGGTGAGGCCCGACGTCCTCAGACGCGTCCTCCGCCCTTCCCCCCCCCTCCTCCTCCTCCTCCTCCTCCTCCTCCTCCTCCTCCTCCTCCTCCTCCTCCTCCTCCTCCTCCTCCTCCTCCTCGTCACTATGCTCCTCATCCTCCTCATCACCACCAGCCATAATCCTCATCACCACAACCACCACCACCAATCATCATCATCATCATCATCATCATCATCATCATCATCATCATCATCATCATCATCATCATCATCAACATCATCATCATCATCATCACCACCACCACCACCATCATCATCATCATCATCGTCATCATCATCATCAGCATCATCATCAGCATCAGCATCAGCATCAGCAGCATTATTTACAACATCACCATCAACATTTTCATCGTCATCGTCATCGTCATCATCACCAGCATCATCATCAACATCATCATCAGCAGCATCATCAGCAAAAGCAGCATCAGCATCAGCATCAGCACCATAATCATCATCATAAGCATCATTACCACAACCCACCATCATCACATCATCATCACCACCATCATCATCACCATCAGCAGTACCAACATCAGCAGCAGCATCAGCACCAGCATCAGCATCAACATCATCATCACCACCACCACCATCATCATCATCAGCAGCATCATTCTCATCGTCGTCGTCGTCGCGTTCGTCGTCATCCTCGTCATCATCACCATCAAATAGAATCCGCCGACCCCTTGTGTGTCTCTAGGCGTGTGAGAGTCGTCTTTCCCCCATCATTCCCCCAGGGCCTCGAAACAGGAAGCTTGAGCCCACCCCCAAAGTCCTCCAGGGACCCCTGGCCGAACTCACCCAGGGGGGTCCGGCCCTACACGAGCGGGTCCGGCTCTCCATGGGACCCTCTTGCTGCCCCAAAATGGCGTCCGAATGCTCCAAGACGACTTCGAAAACCTCCTGACAACCAAGATGGCCCCCAGGGCGGCCCAAGAAGCGCCGAAGAAGCTCCCAAGAGGCCTCCAAGACAATTCGTACGAGGGCCCCAAGAGGCCCAAATCGTTTGAATTGCGTTGGGAAACGGAGATTTTAAGCATCTGCGATTTTTCCTCTCTCCGATGCTCCAAGACGGCCGAAGAGACCTCCACAACCGCACCATGACGGTATAAGAGACCCCAAGGAGCCCCAAGACGGCCCACGAAGGCCCCAAGACGGCTAAAGAGTCGCCCAAGACGGCCCAAAAGAACCCCAAAACCGTCCCAAGAGGGGCCCAAGAGAAGGAGACCGAACCCACAATACGAGCCTTCCGCCTCAAGATGCCCCGAGGAAAACCCAAGAGGCACCCAAGAAGGCCCAGGAGGCCCCCAAAACGCCCCCGGAGGCGCCCAAACGGCTCTGGGGCAGGCTCAGAACTGCACAACTGAGGCTCCCCTGAGGCCCCCCACGACATCCAAACGAACATTCAAGAGGCCTTTGACCCATGACCTGGGCACGGTGGCGGGATGGGCCGAGACCATTAGGATCCGCCGCCCCCTGCTTGCAGGGGTGCACGGCGTGCTGGACGAGCTGTCAGGTTTTGGTTTTGGTTCTTTTTCTAAAAGAACTCCCCAGTGGGCTTCGGCCCGTCCCGCCGGCCACCCTTCCAGGACCTCAATTCCCCAATTTCCTGCCCAAAAACGGCCGTTTCGCTCGGGACATCCTCAAAAAATCGCGAAGATGGCCCAAGATGGCCTCCAAGTCCGCCCGAGATGGTCCAAGACGGCCTCCAAAACGGCCCAAGAGAGTCCAAGACGGCCCAAGACGGCCCAAGAGGCCCCCCAGAGGCCTCCCAGACGGCCCAAGAGGCCTCCAAGAGGTCCTCCAGGAGAGTCCGAAGAGGCCAAAATCATTGATTTTCCATTGGTTTTTGAAGGATTTTGGCATTTGCGCCTTTTCGGCTCTCCGACGGCTCAAGACGGCCCAAGAAGCCCCCAAGATCGCCCAAGAGGCCCCCAAGAGAGCCCCATGATGGCCCAAGTGGCCTCCAAGATGGCCCCTAGAGGGCCCCAAGAGGGCCCAAGAGGCCTCCAACACGCCCAAGATGGCCTCCCAGACGCCCAAGATGGCCTCCAAGACGGCCCTGGAGCATTCCAAGCGGGCCCCAAGTCGGCCCATAGAGGCCCCCCAAACGGCTTCCGACGGCTTCAGACGTGCCAGGAACCCACCAAGATGGCCGAAGTTGGCTCGAAGCTGGCCCGAGACGGCCCAAAAAGCCCCAAAGATCGCCCAAAGCTTTCCCAAGAGGCCTCCAAGACGGCCAAGATGACCTTCCGCCTGCCCACGTGTTCCCCGAAGGCTTTCCAAACCGATTCGGGGAACACGTGGTCCGATAGCTTGGCAGGTCTGGCCTCAACGTTCGGCCACATAGGCGCTTCCAAAAAGGCAGGGGGCGGCGGTGATTCGCCGTAGGCGTCTTCGATTCTGTCGGGCGTGTCCCCCTACAGGGGGATTTTCGACGAGAAATAAAACATACCCCAAAAATATCGAAAAAAATACAAAAAAATACCCCCAAAATAGTCCCCAGACTAATTTTTGGACTATTGTTTGACTATCTTTGGGGTATTTCAATGTTTCCGTCGAAAATCACCCTGTGGGGGGACAGGCCCGACTGAACATTTGGGAGAGGCCACCGAGCGGGTGCCCCGCCACTCTTCAAGGGGCCCAAGGACACACGAATAAATACACACAAATCAAAGGATCCCCCATAGTTTCCCATATTTTCTGGGTGTCTGTCTTCCCGCCCAATTCCCAGATTGTTCCATATTTTCCATATTTTTCCCACAAATATATGCACACAGAGGAAAGGATCCCCATAGTTTCCTATAAATTTCTGGGTTTCTGTCTTCCCGCCCAACTTCCCAGATTTTTCCATATCTTCCTGGGGGTCGACGATTCATTGTGTCCGTGTGTGTTTTTCCCCTCCTGAATTCTCCGCGCCCGCGGGGCTCCCACGAGTCACACCTTCGAGATCGCCCCTCCGCCTCCACTTCCCTCGAGTCGTTCCCTCCTCTCCCTTGCCCTTCCTCGCCTGGCCATCGCTCGCACGTCCATTCCCTGTGTTTTTGTTCGGTTTCGTGCGTGGTTCTTTCGCCAAATGATCAAGGATGCTCCTCGATGGTCCTCGCCTCAGGAAAAATGCACACGTCCGAGCGATGCCAAGTCGCCCCCCTTCTCACTCCTGGCTGCCCTTGCCACTTGTTCCGTGCCTGCGGGCTCCCACGAGGCACTGTCCAAGTCGCCCTTCTTCCTCCTCTTCCCCCGCGTCACCTCTCCTTTCCATCTTCCCCTTTTCCCCCCACTCACCCTCCTCCTCGCTACCATTTCCCTTTCCTCCTCCCATTCTCGCCACCAGAGTTCGCGACCTGACAACGACCACGCAGGCACTCCCAAGCCATCACCCGCACGACTTGCACTTCAGATTGCGCTGTGCGTGAGCACGCGCGCAGTGAGCCCCCCCGCGAGCTCAGATTCGCGACGCTCCCTGCGGGCGCCCGAACACTCACACGCTTGCAATTTGCGCAACGTGACACCGGCGCGTCCACGCAGTCCGCGCACACCACCTCCTTTCCCTTCGTGAAGTGCTCCGTCTCCTGCGCGCCCCTCACGTGGCCCTGCCGCGTGCATCCCCTCTTTCGACGAGCGCGTTCCACTACTCGCAGACTAACTACTCGCAAATGGCCTGGATCCCCCGCGGAGGATCTACGATACATTACATCAAAGCAACCATGTGTTTTTCGGACGTTTGCGAGTAGGCACTTTGCGAGTAGTGGACCGCGCTCGGCGACTCTTGCTGCAAGCCGCGCACGTCAGCTCTCGCTGAAGCCGCTTTGCCGGTCAGGCTCGACAACGTCCCCGGGCGGGCAAAGTGCGCCCAGCCAGTTGGAACGCCCAAGATGTGTATGGCTATGGCATGTTCATGTCGTGACTACCTGGCGTTGGCTTCTGACACCGCGTGGATCCTTCAACCTTGAGCGATCGGCGGGTTTCGGTCGCCAGGTCATCCCATACAAGCCGATTCTTGGCCACTAGCGGCGCTGAACCTTGAACACCTGCGATGAGGCCACCGCCGCGTCATCACTGATGATGCTGACGCCGAGCATGATGCTGGGGACGAACCCCATCATCATACTGGTCGAAAGCATCATCATCATCATCATCATCATAATAACCATCATCGTCATCGTCATCGCCATCGTCATCTCATTATATCAGCTTCCTCCTCCCTCCTCCCCCCTCCCCCGTCAGCATCACCATCACCATCACCATCACCATCACCATCATCATCATCATCATCATCATCATCATCATCATCATCATCATCATCATCATCATGTGCGTCCTCATCCGCCTCATCTCTATCCTCCTCACGGTCCTCTTTTCCGTCATCTTCGTCATTCCTCCACATCTTCGTCATTACCTTCCCCGCCCTCCTGGTAATCCTCTTCTTCCTCCTGAGCATCATACTCATCGTCGTCGGCACCGTCATATTTCTCCTCCTTAGCCTCACCAGCCTCCTCATCCACCCCCTCCTCATCCTCCTCGTTAGCATCATCATCATCATCAACAGCAGCATCAGCATCAGCATCAACAGCATCACTATCATGATCATCACCATCATCACCGTCATGAGCATCATTAGCATCAAGATCATCATCATCACCACCAGGGGCAACAACATAAATAGCATCATCGACATCGTCTTCAGCATCGTCATCATCACTATCACAACCATCATCATCATCATCATCATCGTCATCATCATCGTCATCATCATCATCATCATCATCATCGTCATCAGTATCATCATCACCATCATCCTCCTCACAGTCATCATCATCATCATCACATTGAGCAGCACCATGAGCAGCAACGTCATCATTGTCATCATCAATAACGGCAACGTCATCTGCATCGTCATCGTCATCATTACAACCATCCTCCTCATCAGCAGCCTTGTCATCATCACCATCAGCATCACTACCAGCATCATCACCATCATCACCATCATCGTCATCATCATCAGCATTGTCATCATCATCATCATCATCATCATCATCATCATCATCATCATCAGTACCATCATCACCACCATCATCATTATCGTCACCACCTCCGTCTTCGCCGCCGTCTCCGTCGTCCCCACCGTCGTCCTCTTCCCTCGCGGGTGCAGAAGGAGCCCGACGACGACGACGGCGTCGACGACGACGGAGGCTCCGAGGGCCCCGCGCCCATGGCGCTCAGCACGGGAAGCGGCGGCGGCCCGTCCTCGCGCCAGCGGTGAGGGGAGGAGGCCTCCTGTCCGTCTTGGAGCCCCCGGGCTCCAGGGAAGCCACGCGACAGCATGCGGGGGCACGCGCTGGCCCGCGCCGCGCATCATCCTCACCCCTTGCCACCACCACCACCGCCACCTCCGTCGTCCTCGCCACCACCAGCATCACAACAATCACCATACTTGAAATAACCATCGGCACTTTGACCATCGCAGCCATGGTCATCACCACAATCATCATCATCATCATCATCATCATCATCATCATCATCAGCATCATCATCATCATGAGCATCATCATCATCATCATCAGCATCATCAGCATCATCATTATTATCATCATCATCATCATCATCAGCATCATCATCATCATCATCATCATCTTTTTCATCAGCATCATCATCATTATCATCATCAGCACCTTGAGCATCAGCATCAGCATCACCATCATCATCGTCAGCATGATCATCCTCATGGGCAGCATAACCACCATCATCATGATCAGAATCATCATCAGCATCGTCACCATGTTCATCATCCCCATCATCCGCATCATCATCCTCATCATCATCAGCAACACTGCCATCATCATCAGTACAATCAGCATTAGCATCACCATCAGCATCATAATCATCATCACCAAATCAAGACCATCATCGTGATCAGTATCATCATCATCAGCATCATCATCATCAACAGCATCGGCACCACCGAGAACATCATCATCAGAATCATGGTGATCAGCATCATCATCATCATCATCGTCAGCACCACAACCATCACCATCATCATCATAATCATCAGCATCGTCATCATCATCACCATTATCAATATCATCATCACCACCACCCTATCATCATCAGCATCACCCATCACCATCATCATGATCATCAATATCATCATCGTCAACAACATCACCATCATCAGCACAATCACAACCATGATCATCATCAGCAGCATCAGCATCAGCATCAGCATCGTCATAATCATCAGCATCACCATAATCATCATCGTCCTCAGTATCGTCACCGTCCTGGTCGTCATCATCATCACCATCACGCTCATAGGCAACATAATCACAGCCACCACGATCATCCTCCTCCTGATCTTCATCCGCCTCGTCGTTTTCATCACCGCCATCATCCTCTTCATCCTCCACCTTCTGCCCTTTCTCTCCCACATCATCAGCATCTTTCCCCATCAGCATCATCAACATCTTCATCATCAGCTTCCTCATCAGTATCACCATCACCTCAACATCATCATCATCACCATCATCAGCGTCCTTGTCGGCACCATCATCATCATCATCACCGACACCGTCATCGTTATCATCCTGAGCATCATAAGCATCATCATCCTCACCAGCATCATCAGCATCCCCGACGGCATCATCATAAGTATCATCGTCACCACTGTCGTCATCATCATCAGCACCATCATCAAAATCGCCATCAACATCAGCATCATCATCAGCATCACCACCAGCATCAACATATCATCATCAGCATCATCAACAACATCATCGTCACCATCTTCAACAAAGCGTTCCCCATCATTCCTCGTATTCCCTCTCGTCATGATCCGCCCTCCGTCACCCCCATACCACTCCTCCATTCCTCCTCCATTCCTCCTCCATTCCTCCTCCATTCCTCCTCCATTCCTCCTCCTCCTCCTCCTCCTCCTCCTCATCCTCCTCATCCTCCTCCTCCAAGGTACAAAGCTCCCCTCTCCTGATTGCGCATAACACGATGGTGTCCTTCGGGGAGTTCCAGGTCCGCTATGGCACCCGCCGGCGGAGACGGCAAACAACATCGCAGTGGTAAGAGATGGGTGGGAAGGGCAGGATGGCAGATATGGCGCGAGCACTGCCTCCCTCCCCTCCGTGGAATTCCCTCTCCTCCCTGGTTCACGCCCTCCTCGCTGGTTCCTCCCTCCTCGCCCGCTCCACCCTACACTCGAATGTCGAACATCCCTCCGCAATCATGCCTCATTGTCCTCATTACTCTCATCCTACATCATCCTCATTATCCTCGACATCCTCCGCACCCTCGTTGTTCACCCCATCATCCTCAGTATCCTCCCTTGTCCTCTTTCACCCACCTCCTCGTTGTAAGTATCTCCCCTCCCTAACCGCCTCTTCCTTATCCTCCCCATCCGCCCTCTTCTCACCCCTTCCTCCTCCTCACCGCCTCCCCTTCCTCCTCCTCCTCCTCCTCGTCCTCCTCCTCCTCCTCCATTCCTTGGCCTTATAGACAACTCCTTCCTGCCGCATCCCGAGGCTGGTCGAACGGGCGGGCCAGACGTTTCGCATGAGACTTCCCCACCACATATAGTACTGAAGCTGAAGAACTGGCATCAGTTTCACAGATGGAATGGGTGGTTTTCAAAATGTAGCTCTCGCCTGAGCGCCGCGCACATTCGCTGTAAACGACTTACACGAGCTCCACGGATTGAGGGCGGCCCTTTTCAAAATGTTGCTCTCGCCGTAGCGCAGAGCACAATCGTTTCAAACATCTGCCAGAGTTTTGCGGATCGAGGGCGGCTCCGCTTCAAATGTAGATCCCGCCTCACCGCCGTGCACACTGTTTGGAACATGTGCGAGAGCTTCACGGATTGAAGGCGGTTCGGCTTCAAAATGTGGCTCTCTCACTAGCGCCGCACATCTGGTTCCACGGAGTCTCATGGTTGATGTGCCCGAATTGATGTTTTGGAACGGTTCAGGATTGTCAGGTCGCAACCGTTGCGCTGATTCGGGGTGTTGAAGTCCCAGGAACGATGTTCTGGCACGACTTAGGAGGCCATACCAGTCAGGTTGATTCGTGGCGTTGAAATCCGGAGAACGGTGTTATGGCACGCTTCAGGATGTTCACCATGCTATCCCCGTATGGGGCTATTCCCTGAGTGGAAATGAACCCTTGTAGGGGCGTATGAAGGAAGAGCTTGGAGGGAGTATGTACTCCAACATCGTTGGTGAGTCATGGGTTTACACTGGTCCTCCTCCTCCTCCTCCCCCTCCTCCTTCTCCTACTTCTCCTCCTCCTCCTCCTCATCCTCCTCCTCCTCCTCCTCCCTTCTCCTCATCCTCCTCCGACACAGCCCGCCCTAAACGGGCCAATCCCTCTTGAGGAAGACCAGGACTCCCACCAAGGAGGAAGCAAGGAAGAACGGGACGTGTGGTAGGCACGACCAAGAGCACGACAACGGCAGTGGGAGAGGAAAGGAGGGAATGCAGGCGTGCGGGAGGCTGGGCGGGCAGGCACGCACGCAGTAGGCAGGTGGGGCGGGGAGGGGCGAGACAGGATGGGAGCTGAGAGCAACATCGTGCACCACGCGATGTCAACCCACATGCACACAAACACACACACACACACATACACCATCACTACCATTTCCACCGTGTCACCGCGTTGTCTTCCCACCGCTGCTATGCGCAGGCCGTGCCCGTGCTCGGACAGCAACCACTTCCGACACCCCCGGGCCTGGCCTCCACCACGCGTCTTCCTCGCCACCCGACCTCGCGCCGCGACGGGCGAGACTGCATCATCCTTCTTCCAGTGGCAAAAGTGACGTCACCGTCGCGAAGTCCTGCATGTGCCACACACAAGCAGGATAATCACCACCCAGCGTTGCAGGTGGGGAGCAAGACATAATCGTGCGCGGCGGAGACGAGGAGTATGAGTGGGAGGGGGAGGAGGAGGGAGGAGGAGGAGGAGGAGGAGGAGGAGGAGGAGGAAGAGGAGGAGGAGGAGGAGGAGGAGAAGGAGGAGGAGGAGGAGGAGGAGGAGGGGGGGGAGGGAGGAGGAGGAGGAGGAGGAGGAGGGAGGAGGAGGAGGAGGAGGAGGCGGAGGAGGAGAAGGAAGAGGAGGAGGAGGAGGAGGAGGAGGGGGAGGAGGGCAAGTTGCCGAGGATCTGGGCGCGATCACATTCGCGCCGGCGCATGCTCGAGGCGGCAGGAGGGCCACGCAGTGGCGAGGCGCGACTGCCTTCGCGTGCCCCGCTCGCACCAGGTAACCGCTGGCCCGCCGCTGCCGCGATGCTCACGAGCGGCGAACATCCAAATCAATGCTTAGGAAACAACTGCCGGGAGGCATCCGTCGGAAAAATTACTTAGGATTGCGCCCCACTGCGGGGCCGTTACGCCAGAGTGGGCTGTGGAATCAAGCGGGATTAAGCGGGATTAAGCGGGATCAAGCTGGACTTCGGACCAAGGCCAAGTCAGATTTTGGCCTCCCAGGAGTTGCACATCCTACGCGGCCGCGCGGGTGCGTTCCGCGCGGGACATCCGCAGAAAAGGCGCCCCAGACGCACGGGGCCGTGGCCCAGAGGCCGGGTCCGCGAAGCCGTGGGCGCGGACGTTTTTGTCCACCCTCGAGCTACCTGCCGCCGCGCCCACGCAGGCACGAGCGACCCCGGGCCACATAGCGGCGAGGCGAGACTGCCTTGGCCGGGGGAAGCCCCCAGAGGCCCCCGGAAGACGCCCAGGAGGCCTCCAAAGGCCCTAAGAAAGCCTGGAAACTTCCGTGGGGCCCCCAGAGGCTCTCCAAGGAGGAGCCTCCGCAAAAAGAGCTGAGGAGGATGGGGAGAATACGCAGGGTAGGGCGAGAATGAGGAAAAAGAAACATGGATGAAGCATCGGTTTGACCTTCCTGCCATTCTGCCTGCATACCAAACTTCCAAAGCCAAGGTGCATGGCGCGAAGCGCCAAGTTCAGGGGCCAAACATCAAAGGGCCTCACGGAAGTTTTTCAAACTTTATTAAAGCCTTCTGGAGGCCTCCTGGGCGTCTTCTGGGGGCCTCTGGGGGCTTCCTCGAGACACCCTGCCTCCAACCGCGGTCTCCCTGAACGACCGGGTCGATTTGGAATGCTTCGGAGGGCGTCTTGGGGCAATCTTGGGTCGTCATGGGGCTCTCTTAGGCCATCTTGGAACCCTGTTGTGCTGTCTTGGGGCTCTCTTAGACTGCCTGAAAGCCCTTTCGGCCGATTGTGGGGCGACTTTCGAGCCTCCCAGGCGGCTTCAGACGCCCAGAAGACCGCCGTCTTGGAGAGTCAAGAAGCCGAAAGAGGAGAACCCCAATGTCACCAAAAACCACCAGAAAATCAAAGAGTTTTGCCTCTTGGGGCCTTCTTGGGAGTGCTCTTGGAGGCCTCTTGGGACGTTTTGAGCCGATTTTTTAGGGTATGACGGCTTCTTCGGGGTCGTCGTGGACGGTCTTGGGGCTCTCTGGGGTCGTTTCGGGAGCGCGCCGGAACGCCTGGAGCCCTCTGGGGCCGTCTTCGGGCTCTCGTGGGGTTCTCCCGGGTCGTCTGGAGGGTCAGAAACCAGGGGCCCCCCCTTCCCCCCAAATCAAAGTCCCAAGGGGTGTCCAAAACCAGAGGACCCCCCCTTACCTTCCCCCCCTCCCCACCCCCCTACCTCACCCCGCAAAGAATCTGGGGGGTCTGGACCCTCCCCCACCCCACACAAACCCCGCGGGAAAATTCTTCGGGGGTGTAGATACCCCCTTCCCCCCCGGGGAAGCTATTCGGGGGATCTAGAGCCCCTCCCCAGCCCCCGGCAACGACGACGACGCCTACGACGACGCCGACGACGGCGACAACAGCGGCGGCGGCGACGGCGCACCTGTCGCCAGCGCCCGCGCCAGCCGCAGGCTATGATAGAATGCTACAAGCGCTCGATACAGCTCTTTCAGTATCCTGCTGAGGCCCTCTCATTCCCCACCCTACTCTACTCGAACCTGCTCTACTCGACTCTACCCCTCTACCCTCCTCTACTCCACTCTACTCCACTCGACCCTGCTCTACCATGCCCTACTCTACTCTACCCTACCGTTCCCTGACACTCTCTACTCTAGTTTGCTCCTGCTCTACTCTACTCTACTCGACTCGAATCGACTCGACTCTACACTACTCCTACTCTGCTCGACTCGACTCAGCTCTGCTCAACTGCATCTATGTATGCTCTATGTACGAATGCACTCTTATGTGTACACTCTACTGCAATCAGATCTACATATGCCTTCTCTACTCTATCCTACCGGGCCCTACGGTATCTTACCTACTCTACTCGATTCTGCTCTACTCTAATTTACTCTACTCCTATTATACTCTACGCCTGCTCTACCCTGCTCCACGCAGTCGTCGTTGTCGTCGTCATCGTCTTCGTCGTCTTCGTCGTCGGCGTCGGCTCCGTCAGCGTCGGCGTCGTCGTCGTCGGCGGCGGCGTCGGCGTCAGCGGCGGCGTGGGCATCGACGACGGCGTGCATCGTGCGCCGTGCGTCGTGCGTCGTGCGTCGTCCGTCGTCGTCGTCGTCGGCGGCGTCGTCATCGTCGTCGGCGTTATCGTCGTCGTCGTTGCTGGGGGGTTCTGTAACCCCGCGAATAACGTGCGAAAAATGCGCCGACATGAAAAGCGGAAACTCATGTTAACTTTGGCATTCGGGCCTCAGTTGGGGCCTCCCTATGGCGCCACGGAGCGTGCGAGGGGTGTGCCGACATGAAAGGCGGGAGCTCATTTGAACTTTGGCAGTGGGGCATTTGTTGGGACTCCCCTATGGGGCCACGAAACGTGTGATGGGTGTGCGCAAATGAAAAGCAGGGGAGGAGGAGGAGGAGGAGGAGGAGGATGAAGAGGAGGAGGAGGAGGAGGATGAAGAGGAGGAGGAGGAGGAAGAGGAGGCGGCGGCGGCGGCGAAGCCGTATCGGGTCGAATGTCCCCGTGCCGTATCGGGTCGAATATCTCCGTGACGACGAGACCACAAAGCGAACCACGCGGGATTCAGCTATGTGCGACCTGCCGTGCGCAGGAAAACTGCGTTTACCCACGACGACGAGGAGGAGCAGGAGGAGGAGGAGGAGGAGGGAGCGGGGAGAAGGAAGGGGGGAGAGCAGAGGAGAGGCGAGGAGAGGAGAGGCGAGGAGAGGCGAGGAGCAGGAACGCGGGGCGCCGCGGATTGAGAGCGGGGACCCAACACTTCAGGATGGCGAGCAAAAAAACACGCTGGATGTCTCCGGGGCCCCAGGCCCCCGACGTCGTAATGTGAAGGGGCCCTGGGACACACAAACAAATACACACAACTAACAGGATCCCCCGCATGTTCCCTTATTTCCTGGGTCCTTGTCTCCCCCCCACTTGCCATATTCTCCCATATCTTCCTGGGGATCGGCGATGAATCGTGTCTGCGTGTTTTTCTCCCCTCCTCAAGTTTCCCCAGGGCCGGCTCTTTATCCAGGGCCGTTCTGGACTGCCCCAGGGCCCCCGGAGGCCGAAGGCCATAAACAAAAGAAACAACAAAAAACGCCGTCGTGGTTCTTGTCACGACGCGGGGAGGCGTGGTTTTCGGGCCCGAACTGGAGCATCCCGCGGCCGTTCGGGACCAGCTGGGCACCCCCTGGCCATCGCTCGGACGTCCATTCCCTGTGTTTTTGTTCGGTTTCGTGCGTGTTTTTTTCGCCAAATGATCAAGGATGCTCCTCGATGGTCCTCGCCGAAGGAAAAAATGCACACGTCCGAGCGATGCCAAGCCCCTGGAACGCCGTCGGCGAGGCGCAGGGGCGAGAGGGAGACGAAGAGGGAGAGTGAGAGGGAGAGGGGAGACGAAGGGAGAGGGAGAGAGGGAAGGGGGTCTGGGGCTGGGGGCCGGGGAGGATCGGATCGACTCGGCGGGAGGAAGCGTCCTGCTCCGCAGCGCGGCCTGGGGCCGGGGAGGGGGGGGGGAGGGAGGAGGGGGCATGGAGAGGGGGAGGAGGAGGCAGGGAGGGAGGGAGGGACCTGGGTCAGTTGGTTTGTTCAGTACGCAGACATCCGATGTCTTGACTTCTGTCAACAAGGGGTCCGCTTCTGCATCCCTGGTCGTTCTTGAATTCCCTGGTCCCGGCGAGGGCCCCCCGGCCGGCACCAGAAGCGACCGAAAAGGCCCCCTTGCTCTTGCCACTGCGCTGGAGGTCTGGCTAGCTCTCGCTGCTCCCCGTGGCTCGCCTCCCCCCGCCGAGGCTCGCCGACGGAAAGCCCACGAGGCCGCTGGCCTGCGACGCAGGCGCCTCCGCCGCCGCGGGCGGCGCGTCCGGACACGCCCGCTCCGGCGAGCGCTCCCGCGGCGGCGGGGGCGGCCTCGGCCGCGGGCAGCCGCCGCCCGGCGGCGGCGGCCGCGAGGTCATCGACGACGGCGAGGACGACGTCGACGACGACAGCGAGGATCGTTGGAGGGCGGATTGGGCGTCGCTTCGCGGGGGGTGACGAATGGCGGGGGGAAGAGAGGTGCACTTCTCGGGCCCTAAAGGGCTGCCCGTCGGGAAGGGGGGGGTCCCAGGGGGGGGGTAAAGGGGGGGGGGTAGGGGGAGGGAGGGGCCCCGGGGGGGGCTACGCATCCCCCCCTGGGGGACCCAGGGCCTCAGAAAGTGCCAAGACAGGCCAAGAATGCCCCAAGAGGCACCCGGGCCCAAATCGCCGAACGATCTGCCCAAAACGCCTTCACGCCCTCCAGACACCTCAGGAGGCCTCCAGGACGCCCCAAGAAGCCGCCAAGAGCACTCCCGAAAGGGCCCCAATAGGCCAGATTCATTGATTTTCCTTTGAATTTTGTTTCCCAGCTCCCCCTTGGTTCGGTTCTCGTTTAAAATAGAGAAGTGGGGTCGCCAACTCCCTTTTCCTCCTCCTCCTCCTCCTCCTCCTCCTCCTCGGCCTCCTCCTCCTCCTCCTCCTCCTCCTCCTCCTCCTCCTCGGCCTCCTCCTCCTACCCCTCCTCCTCCTCCTCCTCCTCCTCCTCCTCCTCCTCCTCCTCATCCTCCTCCTCCTCCTCCTCCTCCTCCTCCTCCATTCCTTCTCCTCCTCCATTCCTTCTCCTGACAGATAACTTCTCCCTGTCGCACCCCGAGGTCAGTTTTTAGGGCGGGCCGGGCGTTTCGCCTGAGACTTCCTCACCACTTATGACTCTGAAGCTTAAACGGCGACAACAGTTTCACAGGTGGAAGGCAGGTCGTTTTCAAAATGTGGCTGTCGCCTTAGCGCCGCGCACATTCGTTTTCAAATTTGCCAGAGCTTCAAGATTTGAGGGCGGGTAGATTCAAAATGTGGTTCTCGCCTTAGCGCCGCGCGCATTCGATTTAAAAAGTTGCAAGGGTTTCGCGGATTGAGGGCGGGTCGTATGCCTTAGTGCAGCGCGCAGTCGTTTTCAAAATTTGCAAGGGCTTCACGGATTGAGGGCGGGTCGTTTTCAAAATGTGGCTCTCGCCGCAGCACCGCGCACATTCGCGCAAACAAATTGCAAGGGCTTCACGGATTGAGGGCGGTTCCTTTTCAAAATGTTGCTCTCACCTTCGCGCCGCGCACATTCGTTTTAACATGTTACAAGGAGTTCCACGGGTTCCCATGACCAACGTACCACACATAGTGTTTTGAGAGAGAGAGAGAGAGAGAGAGAGAGAAAGAAAAAAAAAAAAATGAAGCGGGCGTGACAGTTATGTTGGTTCGCGGTGTTGAAATTCAATCAATGGCATTGTGGTACGATTCCGGGTCGTCAATACGCAGCAGTCAGGTTGATGCGTGGCGTTGAAATCCCGAGAACACAGTTTTGCCATGTTTCAGGGTTTTCAAACGGTTGTCTTCCAACGAGGCAGTTCCCTCAGTGGGAATTACCCCTGGTATGGAGCCTATGAACAGGAAGCTTGGAGGGAGGGTTAATTCCGACATCGTTGGTGACTCTTGGGTTTACACTAGTCCTCATCCTCCTCCTCCTCCTCCTCCTCCTTTTCCCGCCCTCTGTCCCCTTCTCGCCTGTCTGCACCTGGCTGCACCTGCCTGCTGAGGGACCGCACAATGGGGCCCCACGCAGACCCAAAAGGAGACTCACCATCCCTGGGGGGCTGCGACATGTGAAACTGCCGCCACTTTCGAGGGCTGCTGGGGGAGCCCGCACGCTGGGGCCCCACGCAAACCCAAACGGGACCTCGCCATCCCTGGGGGGGCTGCGAAGCGTGAAACCGTTGCCACTTTCGAAGGTTGCCAGGGGAACCCGCACAATTGGGCTCCACGCGGACGCCATCCCTGGGGGGCTGCGACGTGCGAAACTGTCGCCACTTTCGAAGGCTGCCGAGGGAGCCTCGCGCAGTGGGGCTCCACGCAAACCCCAACGGGACCTCGCCCTCCCAAGGGGACTGCGAAGTGTGACACCGTCGCCACTTTCGAAGGTTGCTGGAGAAGCCCGCACACTGGGGCCCCGCGCGGACCCAAACGGCACCTCGCCATCCCAAGGGGACTGCAAAGTGTGACACCGTCGCCACTTTCGGAGGCTGCTGGGGAAGCCCGCACTCTGGGGCCCAACGTGGACCCAAACGGACCTCGCCATCCCAAGGGGACTGCAAAGTGTGAAACTGTCGCCACTTTCGAGGGTCGCTGGGGGAGCAGTCTTTCCTCTGAGAATCGGGATAAGATGCCAAAGGAAGTACGATCTCACGTTCACTCTGCTCAGGGAGAGAGGGGGCGGGATGAGACATCGATAAGACAAGTATCCGTTAAGCAAGATTACTCTATCAGGAATGTGAAGGGAGGAGGCCGGCTGGCCTACGACCGACGACGCGCGACGGCCGAGGGCTGGCGCGCTCCTTTTCTCTCCTGCAAGCCAAGGCTGGCTTGTTTGAGCAATCAATACAGCTGCAGGATGCAGCATTAGTTCAGGCAGACAGTGCAATGCATGCAAGTTATCTTAAGTTCTAATTGAATATGAGGCGGAGAGGAACATATTTGCTCTCCCCGCGGCGGGCCTCGTAGAGCCCATCCAGCCACGGCACCCCTGGCCTGTACATATGCACAATCACCGGAGCCAACCCCAGAAACTTGCACGGCTCAACGGTGGCTGCCAGGGGGCCAAGGGCCGAAGAAGCGCGACGACTCCCACCATCACGTTAAATAAATTCTCCCCGCTGGACCCGCTTAGCCGACCAGTAGAGGCAATTTCACATCCAACACGCGTGCCGCGCGTGGATAAAATTGTCTTGCATGCGCCTGCCGCGACTAAGTCACGCGGGCGAAACTCAGGTCAAGTCATCAAACGGGTTGAACTCGCCCTCTGCACTGGGCGGCGCCGGAGGCGGCGGGTTCGACGACGCCGATCCTCCAGTTTGTCCATCTCCGCCACGAGGCGAGCGGGACCGCCCCTTTCCTTTGTCAGCGTTGCTCTTGGATGCTTCCCCTTTTGACGGGAAGCGTGTCTCGTGCTCAAAGGTAGACAGCACGTGCCAGTAGTCCAGAGTATACCACTCGCCGTCGGGCAGCCACGTGATCCTGTTCCGATGGACGCAGCACCCGGCATGTATTTTGTTCACGTAGCGCGGGTAGGACACGGACGGACCATACTCCTAGTCGTAGTCCGCAGCGCCGCTGGCAGCATCCATGGCCCCATCGCGCGCGCGCCGGGATGCTGAGGGCATGTCTCCCTAGTCGCCACGGCTGAGCCGGCGACAGAACGCGGGGACTCAGTGGCTTCTTCGGAAACCCGAAGGTCTGAGATGCCAGGTCTAAGAGGCGGAGGGCGCGTTAAAGGTCTAGCCTCCGCTCCATCCGTCGCCCTTCGTGGTCCCACGAGATCGGCTTCGCCGTCGTGGTCAGGATCATCGTTCTTACGATCTCTCATGAACTGAAGTAAACTCCTGGCAGCTGTCGCCGCAGCGACACCATACCTTCCGCATGCAGTACGGAAGTGTCCATGATCTTTGTCCTGGAGTTCTGTTCTAGGGTTAGGATATTTATCCTGAAGCCAAGAAATGGCTCCTTGTCTGAGAGCACCGTGGCAACGGATATCATTTTGCACGTTCCTGCCTGTATTATGGGCCCACTTTTCTATTATGTCGTCCGTTTGAACAGCGGCACAAATGCGGCAGTCAAGGGCATGCTCGTCTGTCCGTCGTTTCGAAGCAATATTATCCGCGCGCGCCATATCGGGACGAATGATTCGCCCCGGGTAACCAATAAAGTATCCTTCTGGTATGAAGAAGCTGATGATTTCGCGGACAATTGCAAAACAAATCCTATAGGCCGACGGCCCAGTTGCATTGGTTGTACAGAGGCCAACCAATTATCATCTACGATGGTCTTGATGATCTCCGGGATCTCATGTTCTGTAGTTCCTTTCAGGGTAACCCTGCCGGGATTAGTAGGACTTGCGCCTGTATGTTCAACGACATAATGAGCTGCGCTTGCCCGAACCTCTGCCCCGAACAACGTTATCTGAATCGAAGGATCATCCCGGTGGTTGTACACGCGTCCTTCAGAATGATCAAGAGTGATCGTTCCGTCGGTTATCAGCGCGGCCTTAGGCCCGCTGATTGCTGAAAGGCCCAGTTCCATCTGTGACTGTTCGCCTGCCATCGCGGCTTCGCCGGTGGCATGTCGCAACACCGGGACAATGAGGCGGTGGTCCCGACACTCACTAATCCGTCTTGAGACGGACTGAGAACTGCGAGGCGGCCTCGCTCTAAAACTGTTCCCCCAGGCAAGTGGTAATCGCGCAGGAGGATTGTTCTCTCCGGCATTGGCCATATTTTCTTCTTCCAGGGCGCCTGCATTCTGCGCGGGTAGCCATGGTCTCCCTACATTTACCGCGCCATCTATTGTTTGACGCGTCGGAACAAAGACATTCGATCTAGTCATGTCGCTATACCACCTATCCCAGCCTCTCAATGGAGTGGCTAAGTCGCCCTCTTCGTTCGGCCAGTGAAAGGCCTCCAGGGCTGGGCAAGACCTTGGGCGAGCATACTGGTCAAACTTAGTTTCCTGCAATTTCGGCCACCAGGTATGACTTGCAAGGGGTCTGCCTGCCCACGTTTCTGGCTGAATACTCAAGCCACGATATGAACCTTCTGACCAAAGGCTTCAAATATTGGAAGAAAGGGGCATGGCGCGCCGGCGGCGGAAAGTTACCCAAGCCGGAAAGTTACCCGGCAGACTATTGCCGAATATCTGGCCAGCGGCCGCCATTGTAGTAAACTCTCCAGTAGCCCATTTTCGCTCCTGCTGGCTATTGTTGCTGATGTTCTTCATGACAAGGGCAGAAGCTCTCGCTTGTCTCTTTGCACACGCCGTTATATATTGAGGGCGCCCCCATGAAAGATCACGTT